ATTATTATTAGTATTAATGATAATGAATGTAATATTTGCGATCGCATTCCATCTAACTCTATCCCTAATCACTTATTCGTGTGCTAATCTGTGTAATATCTTGAGATATTGAACCGTTCCAAACGGATAGTAACAAAGCGGCTGTTATCCGTTCATCGAGTCGTGTTCGCTTTTAAAAACAACCACATGTGAATCAAGAACAATAATAGAACGCAACCACTCACCAACCAATGCAGCCATTCGGCAACTGATGGATTTTTACGTGAAAGATTATCGGGATCTGAAAGTGTGATTATTATGCAATCGGCTTGATTTCTGTTTTTTTGGGGGGACTTCCACCTGACCGAAGTGACTTTTGATAGCGAGCATTATACAACTGATCCGCCTTATTTCTATGCAATTCCCAGGGAAGTGTTTGATTTTTGGATGCATTACAGCTTTCAGATATCGTCTGACAATGCGTATTTTCGAGGATATTTTTTTAGGACATCTTATTGGTAAATCGACTGAATCGTACCAATCATGATCAGTGTGAACGTGGACTCAGGATCGACTTTGAGTGTCACACGAGGTGCAAATCGTAGATTGCGAGTGGACATGGTTTGTCCTGGTTGCACTTGGATACCGTCCCAATTACACTGAAAATAAAAACTGTAGAAGTATTCATATATATAGGCATATGAATAGTTATTTAGTAAATCTATGCATATGAACGATTAATCTGTTATAATCAACGTAGAAAATGCTTCGGCGGTTGATTGATCACTTTATCTGCAATGAAACGATCGCTAGATAATAGTGATACAGCAATTAAAAATACATGCAAACTCACGTTAAGCATTTGCGCCGGAGGGTTTGGTATAACATTTGGAGTGATTTCACTTTCAGCGAATTTTGCAGCGAGATCCGATGCCATTACTTGAAATTATTATTACTACTATCACTATCATTAATGTTATTATTATCACAATTTATTATTATCATATCTTATCAGTATTGTCATAAATCTAATTGCATCATCACTCAGTATTATAGCCATTTCGATCGTATAATCGCTCATCACTTCCCATATCGTTATATCCGTCATTGATTGATTTGATCTAATCGAGAAGATAGAACGACGTACAGATAAGGTATGATACAACGGAATTAGATCAATGCTAGGAAACATTAAATGAGAATCACCATATATTTACTATAAGTTGCTGAAGTAAATGGCGCGATGTGGCAACGAAGTTATGCACCGAATGAAGGAGATGGAACAATTTATAATATCGATAATAAATAATAGCATTCATAGATAGATATAAAAGCCAGAAATATACTATCAATAAAATGGAATAAACATAATGAATCGTGAAATAATGCAAGAGTACTTGTAAATAATACAGTGAAATGAATGTTAAATGCTTTTAACTTTCTTTAAGTTGGGCAGTTTATTCGGCTAAATAAAAGAGGCAAAAACAAGATGTGCAAACACTGATATCCTTTCAATCGCTCAACAAGTTAAGTGTGCCAGTCAGAAATAGTTCTAAGTGATGCCTTAAACCTGGGTCCAACCCACTCACTAGATACATAAATATAAAAATAATGATATCTCAGCGACAACAATAATCTCAGTCTCAACAACATTAATAAACAAAAAGTGAACAGCTGATATTAATAACGTCAGTCGCAACATCAATATCCCAGCACCAATAATACAGCGTTGATCCATATGCTGTTGACGTCATTAAACGTTCACTCGATCCGATCCATTCCATACCAAAATATCACTTTCGGATCCATTCTCATCCCTCATTTCCTATTATCAATGCAAAACACAAGTATTTCGCTCATACTTCCATTGAAAATTTCATTCCAATTGACAGCCTATTGCTGGAATGTGTAAATTTTGATGGAAATTGTACGAACTCGTCGTCGATTCAATCAATACAAAACTTTGAAATGAAATAATAACGAACATATTTCATATTTCCGTACGACAAAAGCGAAATCAAATTCGATGATAAATTTCACAATCGATTCACTCATATTTACATATGAAATTTGCACTCATAAAAACACTAAAACACAAAACATATGGTGAACTATAAATGAATTATAACAATGTATACAATTCAATTTAGACGAATCGAAAATCATTCAAAAATGATTGCTTCTTATTGAACCATTACAAAATGTGTGTATGTATGTGTGCATTGAAAAATTAAGTTATGAGGGGCATAAATCAGCAGAGAAATAAACATAATTATTGAAGAAGTTGTTGACTTTTGAAGAAGTCTTGAATGTTTTGCATGGAATTCGACGTTGAATTAGCGTGAAAATAGATCAAGGATAAAATTGTGGATAATTTATTCATTGTGAAACGGATTTCAAGGTAGATTGCAAACAGCAAGCGTAAAACGCTCTATTGATGATAATTTATATCATTTTCCATGCAATGGTATATTGGAACTATAAGAATATCACTTTCTTACAACGACGAAGCGAGCACTATTTATGAGCCGAATATGCGCGCAGCTTTGCTTGAGAACTCGATGATAGTTCAGTGACATCGAATGGAAGGGAATGCGCTCAAAAAAAGCAGGTAAATGCATTGAAAATGAGCATCTGAGCCACGTGAGATGGTTTCAAAAAGTCGTCAATAGAGCCATTGCAGTGCAAATTTGAAACAAGTTTGAAAATAGTAGCCCAGATACTGCTTATTCCTTCTACACACTGATCAATGCAAGAGAATGTTTTGAAAATGAGTGGCTCAACTACGTGAGATGGTTTCAGCAAATCGTCAATGCCACTTTGAGTAAACAGTATCACCCAATAACAGATGTGCCTATCTAGAATCACCTGGAAATCATCTCTATCAATCCCCTAAATAAGCGCTGATGGATAATCGACAACGAGATCAAATACGTTGTGAAATATAGGTGCCTTGGTAGAATGGCTCAACTAGCAGGAACACTTAGGAAGTTTGACTGTATCAGCGGAACTTAGCATTATCTCACTTTTCTTATTGAGCAAAATCTTCTCTATTTGATGATCCCAAAATTGATTCAACTGCTGAGCAAATTCAACTCATCTGAATTCAGCTATCTGATCTGAAATGTCATTCAATGTCGGATAAGCGACTGTGAACGGTCATACGCTTCTCAAGATCACTTAGCCCTAAGCCATATGGATACGATTAATCCGATTCACCATCTCCTAAAATATATGCTCCAGATGGGTATTTTCCTTTCAGAGTTTTGCTTTTCAGAGCAACATCACTCCATTCACATGTGCAGAGTTATTTTATCTCGTTCGTCAAATGGACCCGAACAACTGTTTGACGGAGAATGGGAAAGAAGAAGAAGAGCAGGTTGGATTGCATTCGGAAAATATCACACAGTCCTGACGGACTGAACCCTACCAATGAAGGCCAGAGCGAACGTCTTTAACACGACAGTTCTTCCAGCTATGCTCTATGCTTGTGAGAAATAGGCTACCCGGAAAATCGCAGAAGAAAAGTTTGCTATCACAGAAAGAGCGACAAAAAGGTAAATGTGCAATGTTTCCCGAACAAACAGAATAAAGAACGAAGATTCGCCTCGCATGACTGGAGTAAAAGACGCGCTAACCGAGATGAACATCAACAAAAAACGCTGGGCAGGTCAAGTCGCAAGAATGTCTGAAAATCGTTGGACCTGTCGGCTCACACAGTGGATACCAAGAGACGTCAAGAGACCTCCAGGCTGATCAAGAACAAGGTGGCATAAACCGTTCGTCATGTTATTCGACCAACGTTGGTGAGGGTTTGCACAAATCAGAGAAGAGTGGAACTTGATCTTGGTAGACCTACGTTTTCTTATGTGATGACGATAAGTCGCAAGGAATCTCCTAAAATTGAAAAAAAACAGTTTTAGGAGATTGTTAGGAGATTTTTAGGAGATTTCAACGATAAGTCGCAGAAGAATATCGAAACGTTGCGTGGTTATCTTCAAACCAGAAGTATCAAGAAACTTTGACGAAATGTGTAGAGTCATGCTTCTGATCTATAGTTGAATGCAGATCATCGTTTCGTATTGAGGATATTTGTGGTGATGTTTATAGCTCAGAAAATTCTCGAATGTAATCTGAATTCATCCATAACGATGCCATATACCTAACTGGATGCGCTACACATCCGTTCGATTTCCTATCTCCAAAACTAGATCTTTCCCTCAGATTATTGTCATCTTTCGTGTTATTGAAGTCGTAAAATTCGAATGTGAAGCGCACATATCTTGTAATTGGATATCAATCGCACTGATATTTCACAAATGAGATCGTGCACTTAATTTGTAAATTTTTATCATCAAAATTAAATTGTTCGGATTTCCTATCTTCAGAATTAGACACAGTAACGTCCGTTTTTCAGTTCTCTTCTGCTTTCAGACTCTGAATTTAAAATTGCATTCTTATGGATAAAAACACGTTTGGAATTACGCTACCGGCGTTTGTAAAATTGCCAGTTTTCACGTTACCGATGTTTGCAAATTCATATTATGGGTGTTGTCAGACGAATCAAATTACGTTTGATATCGATTCATCGCCAACAGTTTTATTTCGGTTTGCCCTATCGCTAAATGTGATCAAAACTGCTAGCAACGTTTTTCTGTAAAGTATTGGTATGCTGCTTGTGTACACGGGAATTTCATGGGTGCACATGTTCTTACCAATCGAATTGTTATTCAAAACAATAGAATCGGCATTCAAATATTGATGCCGCATGACGATTTGCAGATCATACAATTTGCGTTTCATTTGTGCACGAAGAACGTATCAGAACCTTTAAATTTAGCTGAATAGTTGTGCAGGTAGCCAATCTCATCAAAAATTATCCCACTTAATGTGCAGTAATGAATAAATTACCATGAATTCAGTTCTGAATCACGCAGCACAGTTGTTCGTTTTCCACGAATACAAATGTCTCTGTACGCAAATTAGCGCAATCCATTTCTCTCGTTATGCCTTTTTTTCTAAATTAACGAATAGACATCTAAGCTGATCCAGAAAATGTTCATGTCATCCTTAGATTAGGATGTCAGTAGTTTTGGTCTACGTTCCATTATGCCGGATTTATTTTACATCGCAATACAGTTTGAGAAAAACGATTTGAGTCACTGCCTGCTTAAATGTGCACGTTTATTTCCGTAGATATGCCGTCGTGTAGAGAGTATCACACCGTGCAAAATAATTGTCTTCCATTTCTAAACTGAGCAGATTACATCAAAGGTTAGTAAAATAACATTTTGTTTGGTCACGCTTCGCTCGTGAACGTTTGGTTGCAAACAAATGCAAACGTTTGTTCGCGCAATGAGTAATGACCTATGATATGCATTGTTTATTTCAAAATTATTTAGCTTAATTTATATCTTTTGTCGTTACTTCTTGAGCACAGGCAAAGGCTGTACTCTTGAGCACTCTCATCCAACTAAAAAAGTAGCAATGATCTTTGCATCTATTAATCTTAAACAGGTCAATAAGGTAAACATCTAGGGCAATTGCAGACGAGTTGGTTTGTTCTGGCTTCCCTCTCCGCAAACATAATTTTAGGGGAGCGCAATATGGATTACGTGAAATTAACCGCTTCATGATCAATCCAGAATGTTATCGAAGGATGCGTATAGTGATACGTTCGTGACGGGTGCTTGCAAGACAGTCCAGTCGTGGTTACAAATCGGCATAGTTTCGCTGGTCACTAACGTCTGGTGTGATGTTAATTTTACATTACCGATACTGGTTGGTTGCAAATTCATATAATGGGTTCTATCGAATGAACCAATTTACGTTTGATGTCGATTCATCGCCAACTGTTTCGCTGGATTTTGCACTATTGTTAAACGTAGTCATAACTGCTAACAACGTTTTTCTGTGCATCATTAATATGCTGTTTGTGTATACGGAAATTTCATGTGTGGGCATGCTCCTATCAGTCGAATTGTTATTCAAAATTAAACGCTTTTTTTTCATCACTGCACGAAATTCAGCTCCATTTGTTCGACTTCGTGATATCGATGATGTTATTCTGTTCACGAAGCGAGGTTGACTCAGTTATGAATATCAATTGGCTTGATTTTCAACACTAAACAAAAAGTGCATGGTGAAATGGCTGCAGCTACGTCTAAAAACACTACAAAGTCGTCTCTGCTTTGACGAACACATTCACTACACCGATACATCCGAACCGATCAGTATGGAGGTTACTTTGCTTGCTGCGCTCTTGACAATCCATCTGACTGCAGTTGTTTCAACAGGTGAGCTTTTGAAGATTACTCCTCTTATCCTTGGCTACTTTTCGATCATTATTTCGGATAAATGACGATGAATCAACATATCACTGATGAAAAGAGTTGGATTGGAGGTAGAATCCGGCTCGAAAGCCCCGATACCTCTCACAAGCAATCCGTAAAGTAATGACGAATGATCACGTCAGTCTCCATCAGCCCATGCGTGAAACGTCAAACAACTTTTGATAAAGTTGCTAGATCACCACCTTAAGCTGCAACTGCTGCTAGCCACCTGGAATTTTGCGGGTGTTGATCGAGGCTTCACGTGTCCGTCTCCTCAAGTCACATAAAACCAACACTGTAGATAAAAACGATCATCATTCCTCCCTCCACCTTCTTTCACGACGGGATCACTTTCCTCCTTTCAGCCATAAAGTTGCTTCTCAACAGAGTCATTTGTGCACGATGTCTGGCATTAAGCGCCACTACACTGCATGTTAGCTGTGAAATAGATTTTGATGCTCAACGGCGAAGATTTTGGTTTAACGAGCGTTTATTTTCAGACTGCTTTTATCATCTGACGCAATGCCTTAACGCCTCGCCGCGACCTTGCGGTTCCAAGGAGTATCCGAGGCTTTGCCCAACTTCTCCGGACGGCTGTGCTCGTTTATATCATATATGCAGTCATCGTGAAACTGGTAAGTTTGGACAATGGTAGTTGCTCAATCGTATGCTTGTGTTCTCGAGACGTTTACCTGTCTCCCTCCCCTTTCCACAATTTGATAAGTAACTTCTTTGAAGAAACAAAGCTTTCGCCATTCCTGACGTAATAAATTCGTTTCTGAAACTGGT